TCTTGGTGTTGTTTCTTTGAAGGTTTTCTTCATTTTCTGAACACTATTTTTCGATCCATTTCTTTTTTTCATCTCCTTTCTGACTCGTTAAAGACGCCAGGCGATGATCGGAGGGAAATTTGCAGCCCTGACAACACTGGATGGAAACAACTTCGACCTTGAACCAGTGGTCGCGAGTAAAACGAAGAATTAATAAAAGCAAGAAATATTTTACAACTTTTTTTTTCAAAGGTATATTAATGTGTAAATGGTAGGGGTACCCGGTGCAGTCACGAAATTAGATATTGAAAACATGTAACACCTTTAGAATTTCAAACTCCCTGTGGACCCATAGTAATAGCGAAAATGATTCAAATTGTGTACAAATCATGTATGTACGCAAAGTGAAAGGTAGTATTTAAGATAGGAGGGTTGTCCAAGAAAAACGCAAATATTTTCAATATTTTTGTTGCATTAATAATACAAAGTTAAAAATTACCATGCACAATAATTAACATTTTTTGTGAATATGACACTGGCATTTCTGTAATAATTTTCGAGGTTTAATTCTACATGAAAAGAAGTCTCTTGTTTTGGTCTTCAATTCGACATTTAGATATATTGATGACCTTTTATCAATTATTAATATTCATTTTCATTGTCATTTCTATCTTGATTTGATAAATCCCTTTAAACTCAAAATAAAAGAAGCCACTGTGTCTGACACATCTGTTTCAGCATGGGTATTTTACTAGAGAAAAACATTAATGGCAAACTAGCAACAAAACTATATGATAAATGTGCTGACTTCAACTTTTTTATCTTCAATTTCCCTTATTTATGAAGCAATATGCATTTCCATTTTCACCTGTATATGGAGTTTATGCCTCCCTGTTGATTCGATGCGCAAGAGTATGTTCTATGTGCGAACAATTTCTAACAAGCTATTGACAAATAAGTTGATGATACAGGATATCAACAGTCTCCTTTAAAGTCAACATGTTGCAAATTCTAAGGTGGATACAGTGACCTAATTAGCAAATACAATCAATCATTAAGTCGAATGTTGACTTACATTTTTCATTCAAATTGCTATGCCATTATTTTCACACTGAATTAATTGTCGACAAGCCTCGTATCTTGAATATAGCACAAATGAAATATTTATAGTTAAATGTCACTTTTTTTTTTAAATCCAAGAAACAATATTTCATAACTTCTTATGCTATGTGCAGTTTTCATGAACTACCTACCTTTCACTTTGTATACTTTTTGGTCGCTTGCTAAAAATCAAAATCCGTGCTCTAGAAAACCAGGAGCTTACTGTAGAGTAAATCGTTGAATAATTGTAAAACTAATACATGTAATTCTGAAAACCTAGTATTCTACACAGGCACTTGGGGTATGGACCCCCCCCCCCCTCCTTTCCCATTTTTTTTCTTTTTAAATCTGGGGTCGAGTCACCTTTTTCCTATTTTTGTATTCTAATATGCACTGTATGTTATCAATAATGTAACTCTTTTGTCTCTATAAGCTGTTTTTCAATATATCGTTTTCGACTGATACATAAAAAGAGAGAAGCCTTCTCTCTTTTTATGTATCAGTCGAAAACGATATATTTAAAAACAGCTTATAGAGACAAAAGAGTTACATTATTGATAACATACAGTGTATATTAGAATACAAAAATAGGAAAAAGGTGACTCGACCCCAGATTTAAAAAGAAAAAAAAATGGGAAAGGGGGGGGGGGGGGGTCCATACCCCAAGTGCCTGTGGTATTCTACTGTCTACTTTTGTTTCATGTGAAGCAACAAATAAAAAAAGGAAAGGCATTCAGCAAAGGAAAAGAGGCAGTAGACTGAAGAAAAAGCGTTAAATGTTTCTCTACACTCAGTCTTATGTTCATGCTGAGCAGATATATCACATCCTTCTTTGATTTGTAAATGTAAGCTGTATTGAATATTAAGTGAAAATACATAATGCTTATTTATTTATTCATATCTTATTTATTGACTTTATTTTTTGTTTATTTATCTATATATTTAATTATTTATTTTTAAAAATCTTTTCTGCTTTTTGGGTATTACGAAAATAAACTCTGTACAAAGTTATGATGAGCAAGGGTGCCTCTTCCAACACTTTGTATTTCAGAACCCCTTGGTCAGGGGTCCTGGTGGTGTTGGTGAGGGTGGAGGAGGGGGCTCAGGTTGTTTCTTTGAAAATCTTCTCTGCTCCAGGGTATTAAAGAAACAAACTAATTGCAATCATATTGTGAGCAAGGGTGCCTCTTCCAAAATTGTGAATTTCATGGCCTCAGAATCAGGGGTTCTGGTTTTAGGGTGAGGCACTTTTGCATATATAGTGAAAATGCATTAATTCTTTGAAAATCTTCTCTTGTGCTTCTAGGTATTTATCAGATAAACTAAGTACGTATTTATCATCTGCTATTAAGTATGTCTTTTCCAGAATTATGAATTTCATGACCCTTGAGTCAGGGATTTTGGTGTTAGGGTGGAGCTGTGTTGACTTTATAGTGAAAATGCACTATTTCTTTGAAAATCTTCTGCTCTGCTCCTGGGCGAACAGAGAACAAATTTGTAATAAGCATGGGTATTTTTACCACATTTGCGAAATTCTGGACTTCTTGGTCAAGTGTTCTGGTGTTGGGTAGGCCTCTATTAATTTGTAGTCTACTAAGAGAAATTACTCCCCTTTGCTGTTCACCTATACTAATGAATCACTGCAAATGATATCAATGAAAGGTCAATTGGAGAAGAGAATTATACACAATTTTTTTTATGACATATAATACAAAAATTACTTTCATTGTTTAATTTAATGGTCACGTAAACTTGTAAATAATAGATGAATAAATATGAGACAATAATACCTTATCTTTGTTTGTATTAAATGTTCTTCAAAGACCAAGAGAAGAAAAATGTGAGAGGTAATGAGATGGGTTCAATAATAGTGCTCAAGAACTATTGATTTGATTAGTCTGCATAATGATAGTGATAAAGAGGGCAAGTATAGGAAAGTAAATATCGCTAAGTAATGTAAAATTCGTTACTGGGTACTAGACTAATTATTTTGTTGATCCCTGATCATCCCTTTCATCTTCCTCTTGGGCAACATAGCTTCATCTATCAGTTTGTTTTGTTTTATTTTACACTTTTTTGGGATCCTTTACAGTGTTGTATTATACTCAGGTGACCGTTAAGGATCTTGGGCCTCTTGTTAGGTAAAAAATAAACAAGGTCAAAAATTCAAATCTTGCTTGAAATGGTTTCCTGGTGATAACTCTATATTTTTCTTTGAGATTTCGCAGTGCATTTTATACCTTTCATCAATGTGACTAATTTCGGCTATCTTAAGTTCTCTGTAAGCTTTTGCAATGAACCATAAACCGGGTCATTAATTTCTTTGACTTTTAAAAGAAAGATCCCATTTGACTTGCCAAAAGCTGGAAAAGCTAAAGTTGACTTTTTTTTCCTTTCTCCCATGCAGATCTTCCATCTTTTTTATTCTTAAGCGGGGAAACAATTAAATTCCCTGAATTAATTAGCTTGTTAGATGTGAAATCCAATCCTGGAATCTTCTTTAGGCACACCCTTTATAAACTCGTAAATCATGTAAATTGTTAATCAAACTGATGGTCTGGGTTTGTAGCAACGTCCAAATAAATGTCTTATAAATTTTGGTAAAGGGGAAAGATCAGGGGCCCGGTTTACAAAAGAACTTACGACTAAGACCAAAAACTTTAGTTGATTGTAAAATTTTTGCAAAATTAACGATTCTGTTTACAATTGCTAGCGTAAAAGTATCTTTCTACATACTTGTTAAAAAGATTAAAACCATTCTCTATTTAATGTAAATTAGAAAGTTATTAGCAGAATTAAATTTTGGTCTTAGTCGTAAATTCTTTTGTAAAACGGGCCCCAGGAGAGTAAGTATGGTGTAGGGTGACAATGGCCCAATTCCCGAAAGCCAAATGTTTATAACCCAGCTATACGCTGCGGATTAGAAACACTTGGATAACTTTGTTGATGCAAAATAAATTTCAAAGAAACTCATACAGAAATATAAAATCGACATCCAAACACTGAATATCAGGTGTCTTGTTTTATTGCATACAATGTTATAATGCCCCAGATCCACAAAGGTCCGAATAAGTCATGAACTTTCTCATTAAATAGGATTTAGCATTTATTAATAATTGTATATCTTTCCAGTAATTCTCTTCTTCTTGAATATTTTAAAATAGGAATTTGCAACACAAAACCCTCTCTATTAAAGAAAATAGCCTAACATTTGTCAGAATCATACGACATAACATTCTAAATGTACATGCGCACTTATCATCAATTCCATACAAAGATTTGTAATGGTCAAAAATATTGATCAAAGCATAGACATGATAGAATGCTTGCTGGATTTTATGCTTACTAACCTCTTGCAGTTCATGCATGTGTCTTTTCACTAGATTTAAAAGATTTAATTACCAATGAGTTCCTGACTAGACCTAGCTAGCTTATTATTATATATCACGATGTAATACCTGTTTCATTTGAAAAACTCTCAAAATTAAACGATTTTTTTTTTCAATCATCCTTTGCAAAAATTCTTCAGGCAATCTCTGATATTTTAATGGATCTTTTATTTGAAATACAAAATATATTTTAAAGTACATACATGTATATGATATTTGCAAACTCTAGAGAACTATAACACTGTAAACATATTCTTTTTACAACAAAATAAATTATGCATCATTAAAATTAAATTCTGTTTGTATCTATAGCCACAAAGTAGTTAACTTTGATTTTATTCCAGTCAAAAACGGTTTGAATTTTGTTGTTATTGTTTTATGTTTTCATTATGATATGTGCATGGTTTATTTGTTTCTTTTACTTTTATTTTAAATGAACACATAAAATATTTAGCACTCTCTTCGAGAATGCAAGTTTTCCGGAATAAAGTTCCTGTAAGGTTCCATATATTAGTCATTTCCGGTATGATGGCGTCCTTAGATGTAAACAAATACGTGACTTAGTTAAAAATTTATGTCTATTGTATTGGCATTTCACAGTGACCGGCTTATACGTTAATATAGTAGTAGTCAAAAATGAGTTCCCCGCTTTCAAGTCTAAAGAAACCACAGAAAAATCCGCTTCTTTTAGGGTAAGTTTTCATTCACGTGTACGTATGTTTTATAATCATTTTATGAGCAGTTGATACGTAAGTACAGTTTGTTTTAACAAAAATAAATGAATAATTAAATAATTCTAACACATCACAAGGAATAAAAAAAATATATGTTATTATTATTTGATCGACATTTTCTACATGTACATGTTAAGATAGAATGTTCAATCGTTAAAATATTTTCCTACGGACACAGTTTAAGGCCTGTCCCGAAGCACAGTTAGTGAAATAATATTAATCTATACTTGGTCAATTCATGTGCTTGTAGTCTTGTACATGTACATTTTAAACTTTAGTGCATTACAAGGGCTCTGAATATCACTCAGGACATGCAGAAGTAAAGCCTGGGCAAAAATTATTCAGCATCTTGTCATGCTTATGGATAGAATCTATATCAATTAATATATTTTCATGACTCTAGAGTATTGAAATCTCAAACTATGTTTACTGTAACTGAAATCACCATGCATTATTACCCATGCTGATAAATTTTCAGAAATTCAGTTAAGGCATGAAGTTTTTTTAGATTGTGGTAATGGTTATGTCCCTTACTCAGTAGGGCTGGGACGATACAACTTTTTCTATATCGATACGTATCCCGATAATTGAGCCACGATACAATATGTATCACGATATATTTAATTGGTTATAAATTTTTTTTTATATTGAAATGAACAAAACATTTCTTCATAAATAAGAATAAGTTATTCAAAGAAGTTGTATATCTGTTGTAAAACTTATAATTATTTTGCACAAGTGGTCTTAATTATTGTGTATTTCATATTTATATTTATATTCAACATATTTATTTTATATATTAAACCCAAAATGTTAAGTAAACAAAGTATAACATGAGTCAGAATTTTTTGGGCGATATGTTGATATTTCTTCATACGTATCGATATGCATGTCATCCTCACATTGAATCGATATTATCGATATCTCGATATATCGTCCCATGAGCCCTATTACTCAGAGCTGATAGTGATTCACTGATTGTAGACCTATTATGCATATTTTCACTCACAAACAAGTATGGAAGTTTTACCAGTCCTCCAAAAGGATGGTTTGCAATGAAATGGTAATTGTAAAGATTTTAGTCAAATACCAGTCAAATAATAGTATAAATATTTATTAATTTTGTTTAATATTCCTCCAGAAGGCATGATGATATAAGTAAGCCAGGCTCCAAAGAAAGGTACATGTACAGGTTTACAAAAGTGATAACATGTAAAGTGTTTTTAAAAGTGTGTCATAATATTGTTTGAAGGAAAAGGGAGGGGGGGGGGGGGAGGGTGGCAGGAGTTTGATGTCACTAATCTGAATGTGTTTGTATTTTGCTGTGAAACGTATTGCAGTAGACTTGAAAAAATGTTAATATTAAATGTATTGCCAAGCTTTAAAAAATGTAGAATAATTATATATATAACAAAACTGTTGAGAAATCAGCTTTTTAAATTGAGATTAGGAAAAATTGACAAAAATCACTGCAAATTTGTTCTGATTCTTATTTTGCTAGGATGTGTACACTTTACACACACACACGTGTTATTGAATGCTTTCGCTTTAATCTGACAAGAAAATATAGGTTCCATTTTATAATTCCTCACTGTCACATATTGGTAATGGATAATGCCACTGCATAAATTATATTTTATTTGTACAACAGTTTTTTGGACCACAAACACATGATTCAAGTATTATTTTATGATATTAATTTAAGGCAGTTAAGTCTGAAAATTGCACCTATTACATGGCACTAAAAAGTGACTGGTACATTGTTCTTTTTTTAAAGTCATTTTTGCTTTTAATTTATTTATATTAAGGAAAGTGGCAAAATTATGTGCTAGCCATATATTTTCACAGTGCAAATAGAGGAATAGAAATTTTTAGGTCACCTGAGTTTACTCAGGTGACCTATTGCTATCTGTTTTCGTCCGTCGGCGTGCGTCGTGCGTCGTCCGTCGTCCGTCGTGCGTTAACATTTGAACATTTTCAGCTTCTTCTCTGGAACCATTGAACCAAATTCAACCAAATTTGGCACATAGCATCTATATGTGAAGGGGAGTAAAAATTGTGAAATTCATGACCCCTACCCCCCTGGGGCCTGAGGGGTGGGGCTAAAACCATCAGAATTAATGCAATCTTTAAAAATCTTCTTCTTTACTCCTGGGCATCAAGCAGGCAAACTGTTGGCATGAATGTAATAAGCATTGAGCCCTCTACCTAAATTGTGAAATTTATGGCCCCAGGGTCAGGGGTTCTGGTGCTAGGGTGGGGCTCTGTTGAATATGTAGTGAAAAGCATTATTCTTAAAAAATCTTCTCCTCTGCTCTTGGGTATTTAGGAAACAAACAATATGCATAGTTATGATGAGGAAAGGTGTCTCTTCTAAAATTGTGAATTTCATGGCCCCTGGGTCAGGGGTTCTGGTGTTAGGGCGGGTATCTAATGATTATATAGTGAAAATGCATTAATTATTCAAAAATCTTCTCCTCTGCTCCTGGGTATTAAGCCGATGAACTAAGTACATAGTTATGATGAGAAAAAGTGCCTTTTCCAAAATTGTGAATTTCTTGGCCCAAGGGTCAGGGGTTCTGGTGTTAGGGTGGGGCTCTGTTGAATATATAGTGATAATGTATTATTTCTTTAAAAAGCTTCTTCTGTGCTCTTGGATATTATGAAAACAAAGTAAATACATAGTTATGATGATGAAAGGTGCCTCTTCCAAAATTGTGAATTTCATGGCCCCAGGGTCAGGAGTTCTGGTGTTAGGGCAGCGTTCTGTTGAATATACATGTATAGTGAAAATGCATTATTTCTTTTAAAAATCTTCTCTGATCCAGGGCAAACAAACTGAAGGCATAGTTATGATGGATAAGGGTGCCTATTCCTATGTTGTGAATTTCATGGCCCCTGGTCAGGGGTTCTGTTTTAGGGCGGGGCTCTAATGATTGCATAGTAAAAATGCAATAATTCTTTGACAATCTTCTCCTTTTCTCCTGGGTAATAAGCCGATGAACTAAGAGTATAGCTATGATATGTAAGGGTGCCTGTTCCAAAATTGTGAAATTCATGGCCCCTAGGTCAGGGGTTCTGGTGTTAGGGTGGGGCTCTGTTGAATATATAGTGATAATGCATTATTTCTTTAAAAATCTTTTTCTTTGATCCTGGGTATTTAACAAACAAACTGATGCATAGTTATGATGAGTAAAGGTGCCTCTTCCAAAATTATGAATTTCATGGCCCCTGGGTCAGGGGTTCTGGTGTTAGGGTGGGGCTCTAATGATTACATAGTAAAAATGCAATAATTCTTTGACAATCTTCTTCTTTTCTCCTGGGTATTAAGCTGATGAACTAAGAGTATTGTTATGATATGTAAGGATGCCTCTTCCAAAATTGTGAATTTTATGGCCCCTGCATCATGGTTCTGGTGTTAGGGCAGGGCTCTAATGATTACATAGTGAAAATGCATTAATTCTTTGATAATCCTCTGCTCTCTTTCTGGGTATTAAGTAAGCTTACTAAATGTAAAATTATGATGAGCAAGTGTGCCTCTTTCGAAATTGTGAATTTCATGGCCTCTGGTTTAAAACATGAATCCAATGTGGCGAAGTTGTTGCATGATACTCAGGTGACCTATAAGGCCCGTGGGCCTCTTGTTTTGTAATGACAACTTAATCAAGTGCATGTGAAAAGTAAATTTATAAATGAATTTCTTATCCTTATTGATAAGATACGATACATAATCATATAAACGATATATAATAATATGATAATTTACTTCAGTTCCAGAAGTATGCCCTTCAGGAGCGCCGCCTACTCTGGTAAGTGTATTAACTGATTAGTGACTTCTGTCATGCTACGTCAATTTGTCCTCACTGACCAAGAACTTTCCAGATACAGTCAAACTTCATTGTCTAGATACAACTGAGAAAAAAAAAGATATCTGTGGATTCAAAATTTTGCTGTTAAAATACATATTCAAAATTAAAGAAAACCTCAAAATGTCTATATGGTAATCATATCAGCATGATCAGTGATCGAGATACTGAAGTTTCCCTTGTATTTATATTGAGCATATGTCGAGTAAGACTGATCTAGGGGAATATACTGCTGATCACCAAATATTCGTGACACTAATATTATCCTGAAAAAGTTATTCATGATTTACATGATTTATAAGCAAGACAAAGTTTTCAGGAATGTTTTTTATTTAAGTATATATTATTCTTTAAAACTAAAATATATGTATGAATGAAATTTTCATGAGCAGTTGGTCTTGAGCAATTATACAAAAATAAATTTCTCGAGAACAGAAATAGGTTTGCATAGGTTTACAATATATAATATTCATACAGACCTTTGACCTGATAAAAGTGATTTTCAAAATTTTTCAACTATCTGAAATGACTAGTTACAATGTAAGTAGTGAGGTTGCAAAATTAAAAGTCAGCATCAAAAGAAATCAATAAAAAAATCAATTTAAACCCCCTGATAAATACTTCCAAGGTTCAGTATTGATAGGAATGATGTAGACGGCTGATTTTCAATACAGATGACATCTGTGGTACACAAGTCCCTAGCCATACACCAGGATAAAAATTCTTTTTAATGTTCTATCAAAAGCATGTCCTTATGAGGGGGTTTAATATCAACTCTATTGTTAGTTTAGAAGCTATTTTACAATAATACCAGGTTTAAAGGTTACAGTTGGGCCATTTAATTATATGTAATTTATACTGTAAGCTATCTAGAAGGGGATTATTTCAGCACTGGACGTGTTTTGCCTTCAATTTTTAATTGTCAGCAACTTATTGACCATGTCTTGTCATTTCTTGCCTTGGAGAGTTCAACTTTTCATTGGTAAGTGTTTTTTTACAGGGTTTGGAGGGGGCTGTTCTGGGGGGGGGGGCTATTTATTTACATGACATTGTTGATGTTCATACAGTGTTTGCAGCAGAATTGGAATGGGTACATCTAGTTGGCTGGTCTAGGGAACAGATCTGTGGTGTTTCTTCTTCCTCAGCAAAATTAATATGAAAAACTCCCAAGATTCAAAACATATTTTGTCATGATTTTATTCAAAGAAAACTCAAGGGAGTACAATATTTATCCTTATTCTTTCCCGTTCATTTGTAACTACAGTGAAATCACTAATTTTTTTTGGGGGGGGGGGGGGGGGGGGGGTCATTTTCATTGTTTTCGACATTTGAAGAGACCCACAAATTTATGTTCACCATGAAATGACATGAAATATAAAATGTCATATCTATCATAACTACTCAACACTTCTCCATCCATGAAATCTAATTCCCACAATCCAAAATTTTTTCCTAGAATATTGAACATTTGGCCCCATGAAAGTATGTGATTTTGCAGTAATCTTATTAAGCAGTTCTATTTTTGTAGAAGATGAGAGTCGTTTACTTGATGAAATCACCAACAACATGGCAGCCAGTAGACTGAAGGCTAGTCACACCAGAGCTGACCCCTTCCATGGGGGACTGCCTAAACTGGACACTTCCCGATCACACGTCACTCACAGTACACCCGTCCCCAGGATCAACAATCCACCACTGGGTATGTATCTATAGAAGTGCATTCTGAATCAATGCTTCTTGTTGGTTAGAAGGTATTTTTCACATTTTAAATGTATTAAAGAGGCGAAAGTACTGATGAGGTGTTTAAGAAATTAAAAATAAAAATGAACAAAAATTAATTTGTGTATTTTTTACAGAGAGATTGAAATCTTCGTCATCATTTATTGATGACACGCCCCCTGATAACGCTACATTTTTGACAGGTATCAATCAATCCCTCTGTGGGTGTGGCTGTTGGTCTAGACTATTACATTGTATACTCTTAGAGCGCTATCTTCACTCATAAGCTATATTTTGTAGATATGAACTTTACAATTTCATGATCATATTTTTTCCCCTTCAAATTTAAGTTTATAAGGCTTGTACATGTATATTACAAGGTTATAGGAGCTCCACTCTGCAGACAGTGCCAGACACAAAGTTGTGATCAGTTTATCTGTAATCCATGGGAGATTGCTTCTGTACCGGGGAATATCCTTAATAGCTTTGGTCCAATTTACTTCTTACCTCACCCACAAATTTATTAGGGACCCTCTCTGTTGACACCCTTTAGTGATCATGCAGTTTGTCTGTATTTTTCTGAAGAATGGTTCAATTTTCCCAATCTGCTTCATATCCCGTTCACAATTTGTAAGATTGCATTGACCTAGGAACAAGTTTCTAACTCAGAGCTGAAAACAAAAACAGATCATTGTGTAAAATATTTTTCTGTGGTAAATCTTCTGTTTAGCCCATACTACTCCTATACTCCATGAATCATTCTACTATTGCTTCGTATAAAATCACATCTACCTCAATGGTATTGGGTTTATGCTTATAGCAGATATTTTCCCTATAACCATTAGTCATATGTCTATCCTGACAAACTTTTATGTACATGACTGTATTTTCTGATATGTCTATGTTTATCTATCCTGTCATTGCTTTAATTCTCATTTTTCTTTTATCTGAAATATATATGCCCATATTATAAACATGTATTTATATACTAACCCTTTCATAACTGTGTACTCAGTTTGACATTATTATTCATCTTTGAAAGTATCTTGTTCATTATTTTTATCATACAAGTATGATGGAATGTATTGAAATTTAGGTAACTACAAGATGAAAGCACAGTGTAAGTTTATTTTCATACTGGTGAAAGAAAGTACTAACAATGACTTACAATGTATTAGTATGAATAAGTGATAAATTAATGACAACTTTATTTTTTTTTAAACTGTTATGTTCCAATAATGTTACTTTGTTATCTGTCATTGTTGATGGTGTGTGTTGTGTGTTTTAGACTTAATTCTTGCTGTAAAATTTGCTAGGATACAATTGAAATGGTTATACATGTATTGTTTTATCACATTAATGTATTGAATGGAAAACCGACAATTCTGAAAAAGAAAAGTAATCTTGAGGCTAAATCTTTGTCTTTTTAAACATGATTCTTTATAAGGGCATCTTTTCTAATACTGTACCACAGGGGAAGTAAAAACCTGCATGTCAACCTCTAAAGGAGCCAGGGACATTGAGTTTGCACAGAAACATGTTTTCTTATAACATTTTAAAAAAAACTGATGTATTATAAAAGAATCACAAGCAACAATTATTTTCAGAAAGTGGGTGATTAAACAGGCAATTATATTGCACTATTGTTAATAAGTATTTACAACTTAAGTTATATCTTAAAAGTATTGTGACAGTTGACTTATGGCTCATCTACTAAAATCCAAGATGAAAATCTAGAGTGATTTATGTAACATTTATTTTATAATGGATGTTTTTTTTTTGTTCTGAATGGTAACAGCTCCCCCTAGTGACCAGGAATTGATGTCCTCCATGATGGCCCGTATCAGTATACTGGAACAGAAAGTCCAGACCCAGACAAAAGAACTGACAGAAAAGGTAAGGTCAGACCCAGACAAAAGAACTTACAGAACAGGCAAGGTCAGACCCAGACAAAAGAACTTACATAAAAGGTAAGTTCAGACCCAGGCAAAAGAACTTACAGAACAGGTAAGGTCAGACCCAGACAGAAGAACTTACAGAAAAGGTAAGGTCAGACCCAGGCACAAGAACTTACAGAAAAGGTAGAGTCAGACCCAGACAAAAGAACTTACAGAACAGGCAAGGTCAGACCCAGACAAAAGAACTTACAGAAAAGGTAAGTTCAGACCCAGGCAAAAGAACTTACAGAACAGGTAAGGTCAGACCCAGACAGAAGAACTTACAGAAAAGGTAAGGTCAGACCCACACAAAAGAACTTACAGAAAAGGTCAGACCCAGACAGAAGAACTTACAGAAAAGGTAAGGTCAGACCCAGGCAAAAGAACTCACAGAAAAGGTAAGGTCAAATCCAAACAAAAGAACTTACAGTAAAGTAAGACCCAGACAAAAGAACTTATAGAAAAGGTCAGATCAAGTCAGACCCACACAAAAGAACTTACAGAAAAGGTCAGGTTAAATACTTACAGAAAAGATATTCAGTAAAATAAGTTATCATAGTCAGCAACAAATCAGTGTCAGCCAAGACTTTCCCTGCTTATGTTGCCATGTAGCAGGTAAAGGGTTTTTATTATTGTAGAAGTTAGAAGTAGGTTACTCTAAACCAACTATTATTCGCATCATCTTTTATTCGCCAGTTTTAAATCAATCCACAACAATTAATTTCTGCGACTCAGGAAACATTATCTACAAATACAATGCAAAATAAATGGTTCGCGTCGATTAATATTCGCGAGTAAATGAAGATCACGAAACTCGCAAAAATTTCTCGCACATGAATAAAAGTTGGTTTACAGTATATTTAAGTAGAAACATTTGATAATTTAATCATTAACATATATGATTTTCTGACGAGAGGTAAATGTATTCCATTTAATCTTATACAATATGTAAATTGATTTATTTAGGACAAGAAAATAAAGATCCTGGAGGACAAAGTGAACATAATGAAGAAAGCTCAAGGTAATTATTTAATGTTCATCACCCACATATTAACATTGTGCTTTAACACTCATAATTTTCCAAAAGAAATATACTTTATAATCATCTTAATTGTAGGAGACATGTCCCCCCGGGAGTCTCGAGAATTGGAGAAGAAATGTCTGCTGCTTCAGCAACAAGTTCATGAAATGGAGGTTAGCTTTATACCTCTCCCTCACATAGAAATTTTGTTTCTAGAGAGATTATTTAGACAGCACTGTAAATGTAGCCATATTTTAACATTTGCACTTTTATAATTTTTCAGCATTCAAACTTGACAACTGTCTTCTCTGTTTGTCTGTCTGTGTGTGTGTCTCTCTCTCCCTCTCTGAGTTTTTGATTTATTTCTAGTTTTCTGGTTACGGTTGTTTTTGGCTGACTTTGGTATGGTGTGGTTGGGGGAGGGGATTGACACAAGCTTTTCCTCTCTCTCTCTCTCTCTGAGTTTTGATTTATATCCATGTTTCTGGTTATATGCGTTTTTGGCAGACTATGGTATGGTGTGGGTTGGGGAGAGGATTGACACAAGCTCTCTCTCCCTCCCCTCTCTTTCTATGTCTGTGTGTATTTAATTTATATCCAGTTTTCTGGTTACAGGCGTTTTTGGTGGACTACAGTATGGTTTCGGTGGGGGAGGGGATTGACACAAGCTCTTCCCCTCTCTCTCTGTTTTGATTTATTTCTAGTTTTCTGGTTACAGGCGTTTTTGGCAAACTATGGTATGGTGTGGGTTGGGGAGAGGATTGACACAAGCTCTCTCTCCCTCCCCTCTCTTTCTATGTCTGTGTGTATTTAATTTATATCCAGTTTTCTGGTTACAGGTGTTTTTGGCGGACTACAGTATGGTTTCGGTGGGGGAGGGGATTGACACAAGCTCTTCCCCTCTCTCTCTCTGTTTTGATTTATTTTTAGTTTTCTGGTTACAGGCATTTTTGGCGGACTACGGTATGGTTTCGGTGAGGGAGGGGATTGACACAAGCTCTCCCCCTCTCTCTCTGTTTTGATTTATTTCTAGTTTTCTGGTTACAGGCATTTTTGGCAAACTATGGTATGGTGTGGGTTGGGGAGAGGATTAACACAAGCTCTCACTCGCTCCCCTCTCTCTCTCTCTCTTTGTGTGTGTCTGTGTATTTGATTTGTATCCATTTTGGTTACAGGCGTTTTTGGCGGACTACGGTATGGTGTGGGTGGGGGAGAGGATTGACACAAGCTCTGCCTACTACAATGACAAGTCATCAGCTGACAGTGACAGCGAGAGTGAGGAGGAGCTCTGGAGGCCAGGTCTGTTACCTCAGGAAGACTAGTGTATTCTTGTTTGTGTGTGTGTGTTGAAAAATGTTACTTATTGAGTAGTAAATCAGAATTATTCTGAGTGGGGGGAGGGGGTAAAAATTAATAAAATTTCATAAAATTTTTGAGTGTGAAGAATAGGCATTTCAGGCCACAATAAGAGTTGTTCCCCTTTAGCATTGTGCTGAAAATGTTTGAATTGTATCTTTTGTTTTCAGTGCTACAGAGAGAAGGGAATACAATTGGCTTAAAAAAGAATACATTTTATTGTTCATATTTTTTCTTTAAAAAAAATTTGATCCTGACCAACATAATTTAATTTTTTCCTAAAAAAAATCTTTATACATGTATTGCAGAGTGATTTCCATGTTGTGAAGGTTAATCTTTCTTTTCTTTTTTAGAAACTTCTCTGTCCCACAATGTCCCTGCCCCAGTGACTACTACTACAAGATCTGACACTGTCCAATCAGAATTCAAAGTGGACTATGACAAAATCATAGAAAACATCAAAGACCTGAATGTACTGGCAGGAGAAGGTGTGTCCAAAATCCAGCACACCAGTGATGGGGCTAGATTAAGGGTACAGAATCTCTTTTTTGTTCAGTTCTTTTGTTAATTTTTCAAAATACAGAATAGAATATTTTTGATCAAAATCAAGATGTCAAAGCCTCAGGAGGCTTTTGATTAACTAAACACATTTACATTGACTTAGTAAAAGGAGAAATTTCTCTGACTTAGATTCCTAGTTATTCAAAGCTACTGCACTGTCATGCATGGGAGAACTAATGGTTTCATTCATACTAATTGATATATCTGAATTTCTATATTGTTATTTCAGCTTCCTGAGCCAGTTCCCCTGGTTCTGTATGCTAATGGCATCATGCTATTCAGTGGACCATTTCGACCTTTCACTGACCCCGTCACACAACAGTGTGTACAGGACATCCATGACGGATACTTCCCATCAGAGCTACAGAATAAGTTTCCAGATGGAGTCCCTTTTGTTGTTAGTTTTTTGTCCCTGGAGGGCTGTGGTCAAGATCATAGATATTTAATGTAGCAGTTAGGATGTTGTTACTCTTTCTTAGTGGATAGCTTTATAGGCTATCATATTGTAAATCAACTATTATTTGCATCATATTTTCATCAGTTTGAAATGAATCCATGAAGATTAATTTTCTGGAGCGAGGAAACATTCTACACAAAACACAGCATATAAATGGTTTGTGGCGATAAATACTCACAAGTTAAAGAAAGTCACAAAACTTGTGGATTTTTTTGCACATGAATAAAAGTTGGTTTACAGTATCCTTTAAGAGCTACATAGACCTACACCTATGATCTTGGAATGCAGTCTGCATGTCATACTTGAAGCATCTTAAATATATCTTTAGTATGGTATCTAACCATTTTGGAAAATTTTGTGAAAGAAAAGCTTACACCCACATTTCATAAAGTAAAATATTTCATTTTCATTGAATGACAGTTTGTATAGTCATATTTGATCACCACCTTCTGTAATGCTGATAATTATTTTGTTGCTTCATTATGATTAAATTTAAAATGAGAGTAAAGAAAATTAAAATTGCATGAAGCTTGACATGTTTTTCAAACCAAAATTTAAAGCTCCCTAGCTTTTGATTCACAGTTCTGAATGCAGCTATGTATATTTCCATGTTATTTTTTATGTTTTTTATGACATATGACCGATAAATCAAAGTAAAGTGATTTTTCCATACAGGTCACAGATTATAGAGAAGTGTACTTCAAGGATACTAGACGAGAAGTGTTCCATGGCACTGGTCAGGTGTTGGGAGGGGAAACCAGGCCATCTAGACTGGTTCCCGACTCCAAAACAGGAGAGAAAAGCCATGACACTACCCCAAATAACACACCAGAAAACACACATCTCAAAATCGCTACAGAGCTACCAGGTAAGGTTACGTGTTGTTGAACTATTTATACTTTGTTTTGCTGTATTATAAACACAAAGATCCAAGGCGGGCTTCATTTATACCATGTCTATAATGTAAAAATAATCTCTGTGATAATTTAATTATTCTTACATGTTCAGTTATAAAATGTATCATACTTTTAAATAGAGCCATGCTTGTGATGCAATAGCTGCAATAATGTAGCTCTCGTCAATTTTATGTTTTTGATGTTCTCCTAACCCCCCCCCCCCCCCCCTTTACAAAAAAATAGGGAGTGAAACATTATTGTAGCTAGTGATGAAGTTCTGATAGTAAGTGTATCAGTTCTGTTGTAACATTATTTTGATTTTAATTTGAAAAGTTCTATGGACATTATGTCAGAGGCTCAGTATTGGAGTTCTGCTTATGACATAGTTTTTTACCTTGACCAGAATTCTGAAATATCCTTCTCTGGTGATGATGTTGATCTTTATTTATGTCTCTGGCGATGATTTGATCTCTATTTCCATCTCTGGTGATGTTGTTGATCTCTATTACTGTTTGGTGATGATATTGATCTCTATTTCTGTCTCTGGTGATGATGATGATCTCTATTTCTGTCTCTGGTGATGTTGTTGATCTCTATTTCTGTCTCGGGTGATAATATTGATTTCTATTTCTGTCTCTGGTGATGATGTTGATCTCTATTTCCATCTCTGGTGATGTTGTTGATCTCTATTTCCATCTCTGGTGATTTTGTTGATCTCTATTTTCATCTCTGGTGATGATGTTGATCTGTATTTCTCTCTCTGGTGATGATGTTAATCTCTATCTTCATTTCCAGTGATGATGTTGATCTATATTACTGTCGTGATGATGTTGATCTGTGATTCTCTTTCTGGTGATGAAGTTGATCTCTATTTCTGACTGATGATGATGTTGATCTCTATGTCTATCTCAAATGATGATGTTGATCTCTATTTCTGTCATGATGTTGATCAGTATTTCTGTCTCTGGTGATGATGTTGATCTCTCTATTTCCATCTCTAATGATGATTTTGATCTCTACTTCTGTCTCTGGTGATGATGTTGATCTCTATTTCCATCTTGGGTGATGTTGATCTCTATTTCCATCATTGATGATGATGTTGATCTCTATTTCTGTCTCTGGTGATGATGTTGATCTCTATTTCTGTCTCTGATGATGATATTGATCTCTATGTCTGTCTCTGGTGATGTTGTTGATCTCTATTTCCATCTCTGGTGATGATGTTGATCTCTATTTCTGTCTCTGATGATGATGTTGATCTCTATTTCCATCTCTGGTGATGTTGTTTATCTATATAACTGTTTGGTGATGATATTGATTTCTATTTCTGTCTCTGGTGATGATGTTGATCTCTATTTCCCTCTCTGGTGATGATGTTGATCTGTATTTCTCCCTTAGGTGATGATGTTGATCTCTATTTCTGTCTGGCGATGATGTTGATCTCTATTTTTCTCTCTGGTGATGATGTTAGTCTTTATTTCTCTCTCTGGTGATGATGTTGATCTCTATTTCCATCTCTGGTGATGATGTTGATCTGCATTTCTGTCTGGGGATGAAGTTGATCTCTATTACTGACTGGTGATGATGTTGATCTTCATCTCTGGTAATGATGTTGATCTCTATTTCTATCTCTGGTGATGATGTTGATCTGTATTTCCATCTCTGGTGATGATGTTTTTCTCTATTTCCATCTCTGGTGATGATGTTTGATCTCTTTTTCCAACTCTTTAGAAATCTGTACTTTTGTGCTAACTTTGTTAAAATCTGTATCTTGAACTCTTTCTGATCCCATTAAACTCTTGGTCCACAAGTGGGTGTTGCACAAACTCTACTGCTTTTGACTTCTAATGCTTGAAAACTAGACAGCATACTGAAAACTATCAGTTGTAAAGTAACTCTCCACATAAATTGCTTGACATCTAGTTTTGATTTAATTTGTACTTTATGTATTGACTATTTTTTGGTTACAGGAAAGAAGATGACAGTGGGCCAGTTCCTTCAGAAATTGCCCAAGTCTGTTATAAAAGATGGAAAAGTCATTGACATACGGAACTCTGTAGGGGAAAACTTTAAGGTAATGGCAAAACTGTATTTTAACAAAACAGTTTTAGTGGCTATTACATGTACCTGTATATTTATTTTTGTGTTTACTTCAATCGAAAAGCACAAAAGGTTTTCTTTCAATATTATTGACAGTACATCTTATTATGCTGCTATTTTGCCTGAGTAAAGTTCCCATGAAACATAACTTTTAGTTTGAAAACAAACATGACTCTTATATTACAGGATGTTAAAACCAGTCAGGGAGTCACAGTGGTGGAGACAGATACAGTCCGAGACATCAAAAAGAGGTAAAACTGGCAAATTGTCTGTTATTCAGACAAATTTGTTGAATGTTGATTGGCTAAAGACAAATCACATGATGCCCAGAAATTTTCAAATACACCATTTCTAAGCAAGGCCAGGGTGTATTAGATTCTGTTCTACATGTCTGTACGTACTAATCTATTGTAAACAAATGAGGACAAGAAAATGGTTTGCTTGTTAAAATTCATTGTTCATATCTTTAACTGTGATGGTGTAATACTGAGGATATATGATGTTCAATGATACTTTGAATTGTTTTTTTATTTGATACATTGCTGAACTCTAAACAAATCCTCTAAAGGTTTTCAGTGGTATTAATTCATTACACAGTTAGTATGGGCTTAATATTGAATAATCCAGGATGTGAAATTGGAATCCATATTGAAACTTGGCTTCACCTTGCCCAGTATGGATCCATTTCACACCCTAAGTGACTCCATATACACATACTGTGTAACATAAATACACAATGTTGTTGTTGTGTGTATTCTAAAATCTTGCCTTCTTTAAACATGGATTTTTAAGGTCTTCCGTTTCCAACGGAAGACCTTCTACTGATTCTGATGGTTAAGATTATTCTTATTATTCTTTTTTTTTTTTTCCTAGACGCCAACTTTGAAGCTTCATATCTTCCTCATTTCTGAACGGAATTTGTTCAAATTTTCAGAGCTTTTAGACTTTGCAAAACACTCTCAGAATACTGTAATACAATTCGAAAATTACCTTCTGTTCATGAGTTATTCCCCTTTGATTGAAATTTTTATGCCTCTGGTTTCCAGACAAAGGATCTGAGACTGTAATAATTGGAGCACAAAACCCTTTGAAATTGAAAAGAAGAAGCATTGAAGTTGTGCACATCGGTTTTTGTTTTTTGATTTTTGCATTAAAAATGGCGCTAGAGAGGGGTCAAAAGTTAGAACGCGGAAAAGAGCAAAAATTTTGACATATTTTCCTTTATATCTTTAAAACTAAAAATATTTTGTTAAAACATGTAGAATAAAAGTTGTGCATAATAGCAAGAGCTTTCATTTGATATCATTTAAAAGGGGCTGGCCCCTAAAATTAGGGATTTAGAGCCCTTGAAAGTTTTCGCTTTATAACTCAAAAACGGTAAATATTTCGATATGGCTTTCGGAATTAAAGTTGTTCTTTAACACCTTATTGATCTCATACAAATGTTGTTTTGTTCGAGTATTGCGTAATATGTCGTAATATGTAGGTAAAAAGCAGGTCCCGTAAACAGGTAAGCGTTTTCATTCGGCAAGTAAATCGGAACTCTTCATGTGTATAACTTTAACAAACTTGCAATAAATTATATACCCTACTGTATTTAATGCTAATTTTCTTCTAAATAAGGTTTTAAACGTGTTCTGTGGTTCACTCATAAATTATTCTTTACAACTTTCTTTTCTTTTTTAATTTAGATTTAAAGGGAACACGTCTTCAAATAAAGGAAGGAATTAAATGTATCTATATAACTATATAAGTAATATTAAACTTTAAGCATCGAATAATTAATGATCATTAACAGTACTCATTTCTCCATGTTCACCTCGATGTTTATAGTTATGTAACACATTCCGCGATCCCACGTTGCCGAGGTCACCAGTGTACCAGCCACCTGCGGTCATAAGCCATGTAAACAAAACAAACATCTGAGAAGACATATCCATTGCGTAGAAACAACGATTAATGAAACATTAAGTTGTTTTTTTTTTATTTATATCGAATCTTTAAGATAACAATCTCATCTTTCATTTAATCTTAATTCCAAACATAAAATCATAACGAATTTTAATCGCTTTCACCGACCTGGTCACTGTCGACACAACAATACGATTAAACTAGAGCGAGCTCGTTGCAAAGCAACGAATAGGTCTTCCGTTGGAGCTGCGGAAGGAAGAAGTGACCTTGAGTCAAGGTCATGCCACATTCTAAAGTTATACATGTAAGCAATCTTGTAAGGGGAAGCAACTTACAATATTTCGCTAGGAAAAACTGTAAAGGAATGTACGTGACCTTGAACATTCCAAATGCCTTGTGTCAAACCATGACACACTCTCGTCATAAAACCCAATCTGTGTGTTACCGACTTGAAAAGTTCACAGTGACACGTCATGTTCTTTTAGTCCATACATACAATCAAAACATCTTATCCTTAGTGACCTTGAACTTGAGTCAAGGCCATGTCACACTCTGCATGATACCAGCAATGTTTCACTAGTACAAATACGGTAGCGAAATTACAGTTTCTCTGTCAGTGACCTTGACTCGACCAAATGACATTGCATCAAGGCCATAACACACACTGGTTAAAAACAATCCCAGTCTGTGAGTTTCTGAACGGATAAGTTCAGCCATGTTTTTTCAGGTCATACAGCGAGTCGGAATAATTTGTTAGGTTCAACATAATGATTAAAAAATTCATTGAGAATGTTTTATGCCCAGTTTGGATAAGTAGTAAAACGTGGAGATCGATCCTTTGGATGAGACCGGTGCTTGTGGACAGGACCCCCCCCCCCCAATATATACCCCGGGGTCCAAGAATATTTTTATTCGTCTTTTTCCATAACGTTTTATTAAAAAATCATACCCGCGGTATTATGAAATAGAGAAGGTAAGTCACTTCCATTTGTTAACACTGGACCCCTCTTGGATATCGGGCCTAAAATATCATATACATGTACCTACCACATGTCACCAAAATATGTTATTATATCTTGTTTCATCGTCGCAAGCCACGGGTTTTGTGTCCATTCTATTTCCACAAATCCGTGGCTGCCTCCTTCAAATTTCTCTCGTTCTCATGAATATTAATAACATACATTCAACCAATTGAATAACATCTGACGCTTCAAGTCAGAACCAATGAAAATGATGTCTATCTTGTATTTGGATGTAACCATAACCACGAGCTGTACATCAACTTCGGTTCGAATTTCCTTTCTTAACGAGTAACGCTATTCAGCGTTCTCGCACAACGTCTACATTCAAAACCCTGTATTTTAATGTAAAACCTTGTAAGTATTTTAGAATATACGTTACTCACATCTGTTCTTCAGGATCTATCATATTTTTTTTTCAATAAATCTGCCACGCATAGCAAACATGATTTCATTATGGGCGCCGCCATTTAAGCGTACCAAAAATTGCTACAGAGTGATTTCATTGGTCAGGGTAAATCTGGCGTCACTTAATAAATATTCAATGATTCAGTCGCGAGAACGAGAGAATTTGGTAGGAGCTAGCCACGGGTTTGTGGAAATAGAATGGACACAAAACCCGTGGCTTGCGACGATGATCTTGTTTCGGTAGATATTTTTGTCTTTAATCGTGCTATTTAAACGAAAGACCTTAAATAGTGTCTGTGGCTGTCACTATTTCGGTGTTTTTCAGAAACTTGATCGTAGAATTGGTCAAAGTCCACAACTGGACAATAAACTGATAAATCGGCTACGGTATATTATCTGTTCACAGAAACGACATATTGAAACTGGAAAAAAAATAATCCAGAAGCAATTCATTTCATTGAAATTCTATCATGAATATTTTGTTTTAATCGATGGACTCGATAAATCAATAAACTGACCGAAGGAAAAACGTTGCACGTGCCGTAACATTCTGCACGTTTTTTTTTATTTTACATTCTACTTGCATAATACATGCACATGTACATGTACATATATATTAAACAGAAACATAAATACCAAGCCCGTCGGCATTTAAAAAAAAGTAATAAAACATAATTTGATTTGATCTATTTTATTTCATTTAAACTCTATTAATTTGTTTTAAAAGTATGATTGATCTTTTTCCTTTTAATATACACTCAGGGTAAAAAGAAAAAGTATATATTGACTCGCGTAACTTTCATGGTTGTAGTTACATTTGAAAATGAAGAAACGTTGAAGGGACTGGTGTGTTGTATGGCTAGACAACGCCTTGCACATGCAGAGAAATTTACCACAGGTACTCTAGGACAGGTGTGAAACCCCTAGGGCATGCCGTTTCCTGCTCTTGCTCTGCTAATCCCTATACACAGGAAATGATTGCGACTAATACTTAATACACAAAGAAACAGAATATATTCAAGTAAACTTGGCATTGATTTTTTTCTTGAGTATTATTGAGAATAATAAGTTTTAGTGATATAACCCCCCCCCCCCCCGTTTTAATTCTTTTGTGAAGTTCATCACCATGCACATTCCATCTTCTGTAATTGGAGAAATGTTTAAATTAAAAACAAACCACTGTTTACAAAAGAAGTAAATATCGAGGGATAAAAATTGTTATAATTTATTGATATCTTTTATAACGTTCACGCGCCCACTCACTGCAAACGCTCACCATCGAATATTACAGCTTTCCGGTCATTCGACAATTTCAGGGAAATGCTTGCACATTAATACAGTAAAGTGAAATTATTTAAATGAATTATATTGTTCTAAATTTGGTAAAAAAAAAAAAAAAAAAAAAAAAAAAAAAACATGAACAGTATATAGATATATTTTTTTTCCTCATAGGAACGCTGAAAACTGTTAATCGGAATTCGCACTGACTATTGTTTAGCACGTGTATGTAACATTGCAGTTCGCATATAATTTGAAAAGAGAAGTTATTAAAACTTATATTTCCGACATAAAAATTTGTCACGTTAAACTCTCAAATGACTCAGTTTATAAATAGTTTTCTTGATACTATTTAAAAAAAGATGTCGCTTTAGTATTGATATATAACTTAACAAAATTAATAATAATAAATAAAATTAAAAAAAAAAACGATTAAATATATTCTGCTTTACAATTTTTTTTTTTGTTCATTCATTATTTTCACCTTTTGCGAAATAAAAGAAAATACTTTCATAAATATACATACATTGCGGGATTTTAATTTGTTTTTTAAAAGAGGGAATTTCGCAAAATTCCTGTTCGGGGAGATAACTCCCGTTTGTTTACGATACTAGTTGATCGATGATTTAACCGCG